TCTCCGACTTTTATTTCCAGCAAAGACAAATGCTCTAGCATGACGACGGCTCAAAATGGCGATATGTTCAACCGTAAGGTGCTTGACATGCGAAGTATATTTGATAAGAGCTGGACACTAGGAGATTCCTATGATAATTTTGTTTACAATTGACGCGTTAATGTCTGCGAGCGCCTCTGTACATTTAAATCTTTCTAGAAGCACCATTACAACGATTAACGGGGGACTAAAACAGAGTTAGTCTGTAATCTCAGAGAACGCACGAGTGTCTGGTAATAGACTAACTATAGCATCAATGGCCAAACCTAGTGATTACCACAATGGGTAGGATCAAATGTGTGTTTGAACCTTTGCTACCAAAACACAAGCCTTGGTTCCTAGCAGTACTATGGAAATCGTGTTTTACCACATAGTCCGCCAGCCCTGGCTCTCCACTGAAGACCTCTGATGGCACAGACCGCGACGGACTGGAGCTAGTGAACCTCGCATCCTCAGATAGTGGAAGTGGTACTGGTGGCGTTGAGGCTACTGTAGGCTCTAGAGGGACCTCCTCCCTGGTGCACAAGGCTCCTATTCTCCTCGGAGGCGTTGGCGGCAGCGGAAGTGGAAGCGACGCCGTGGAGCAGTTGGTAGGAAGCGAAACCAGCACTCAGTCAGATGGCATTACGGCAATGCTTAAGCTACATAGTCGATTGGGGCGTATCCTGCAGGACGCCTGCGATCTACACAAGCAGATCGGCCATCTCCTGTCTACTGTAGCCAATCAACCCGTCCACTAACTTTCAATTGTCCCCTCCCTTCTTCCGTTTCTCTGCCCTTTGTCCTTTTCCCATCACAAACCATTTCATTTTCGCAAGATGTATTATGGCATTAGTCGTGCAGCCTGGTCTTGTGTTCCGTGATGATTGCGAAGCTGGAACAGCGAGTTGCCGACTACTGGTTATCAGTTAGCAAGACTGGCAGCGGACCAGCAATTTCCCAGTGTGAAGCGTTTTTTTAAGACCAGGAGCCAGCCACCGACGGGACCGCCGACGGCGAACAGACCCATTTTTTGAGATCAACAAACGACCAATGTTGGCTAACAAATCTCGGACTCAGCTCCATTAATAAGTCTTAAATACAGAGGGAGTGGTGTAGTGTGCACATGGACGTCCAGAGCCAACTCGGGCCTCTCAAATGTACTTGCAGGGCCGTGGATTGCCATAAACTTTAGTGGTACGTAAACGTTTCGCAACATTAAAGAAAATTCGGATAGCCAGTGCTCAAAGACAGCATAATTATGTTCACAAAGGCATCGCCTTTTGAGGGAATAGCAATGAAAAAGAATAGGTACATGGTGCCGTGGCGGGTGCCTAATTTCATTAACTGCAATCCAGTCGTTCCCGAAACGGCGGTTACACCTGAAGAGCTACGTAACCCGGATTCCATTATCATAAAATCAAAAGATATTTTGGTGGGGAGACGGTCTATTGCAACAACAAGGCTACTTGAAGAAAGGGGTTCGGTAACAGAAGCAAGAAATGCGAGCTGGTATCGCTGCAGTTGCAACAAAGCGTTTGACAGCGTGAGCACAAACGTGAGAAAGAGAAGCAAACTGCAAACTATACAAAGGATTCGCGGCCACACGTATACATCAAGAATAGTGAAAAGGAATTAAAGCTTGTACCCACAGTGCCTACGACCTCGAGGTCAGGATCATGAAGCTGCCTCCACAGAAGCTTGACGGCGAGATTGAGCATCAAAACCACCACGTGGGTAGAATGAGCCGCGTGCGCCACGCCCGCGACCACCTACAATACAAGTGCACATATGATGTGGAGTAGCGACAGACCTTAAAGTAGAAACCAAACAGAAACCAACCCCTGAACGGTGTACTCCCATTTCCACGTCCCCTACCACCACCACCGCCACCACCAC